GTGACATCACAAGAAGGCATTCTCATGCCCCAGAGCTGTTTTAAAAGCTCGGCAACAGCCACGACTGCACAGAGGAGAGAAATGGCGCTTCAGCTACAGCTCTTCCTGCTATTCCTAGCATTCTCTGACCTTTTTTCGGCCCTGCCCATGGCAAGCCCTCTGCCCACTCCTCCTGCCCTGGGCCGTTCACCAACACTCTGCAGTCCACCTTCATGTTTGCACCTACCTTTGCACCCCTGTGTGGTCCTGAGGTCCTCAAACCTTCATCCGGCAACTCCTGGACCCTTTTCCCACTATGAGGATGGCCCAGCTGCTCAGGAACACATCTCATTTGGCCCATGGCAGTGGGACACTGGAAATCAGGTCACCATGGATTCTCAGCCAGCTGGTTCCCACACCTCTGGGTTCCCAACAGGGCTCAGCACAGGAAAGCTGAGTCCACATCCTGAGGGAGCACTGGGCACATTACTACTCTGGAGCCCTCCAAACCAGCTCAGCACAGGGACCATGAATGAATTGAACGTCCATCCGTCCCTGATGTCGACAATGTTTAGAACGCCTACAGACACCAGGGAGAGCGGGACTTTTACAAAACAAGTAAGTACTGGGGGAAGGAATCACCACATCATTGGACACAGTGCAAGTCCTTGGACCACAAGTCCTGAGACCACGAGCTGGCTGAACCAGCTCAGCAGTGGACAAAGTAACCCTCCAGACACCTGGCTGACCAGGAGCCCACAGACCACAAACCCTCTTACAAAATATAACAAGCAGAAAGTCAGTCCCCGTAAGAGAGCACCAACCAGGAACCCAAAGATTGGGAGTCTTCTGAACCAATTTGATACTACTGGGCAGATGAGTCACACAGACACTGGGTGGACAAGGAGTCCTACCACAAACAGGCCACTCCAGTGTAGCACAAGGCAAGTAAGTCCAGAGAATACCAGCCTTGCCAGGGGTCAAGAAACCACGAGTCCTGCATCCCAGCTCAGTATTGGGGAAAAGATTCACCTGAATAACACCATCACCATGAAGTATGGAGTCTTGAGTCCCTGAGGATAAGGAGGATCATGATTGTGTTTTCTGTTATAGTCATAATAAAAATGATGAATATAAAGGAGATGAAAACTAGACCTGATTGAGAGGAAGAAAAGAGTCCTAAACGAATGAAATCACTGGGCGCCTGGGTGGCTCAGTCGTTAAGCGTCTGCCTTCGGCTCAGGTCATGATCCCAGGGTTCTGGGATCGAGCCCCGCATCGGGCTCCCTGCTCAGTGGGGAGCCTGCTTCTCCCTCTCCCACTCTCCCTGCCTGTGTTCCCTCTCTCGCTGTCTCTCTCTGTGTCAAATAAATAAATAAAATCTTTAAAAAATAATAAAAAAATAAAGAAAGAAAGAAAGAATGAAGTCACTGGTGAAACTGTGATTCTCATGCCCCATCATGAACTCCACTCTTCCTAAAATAGAAAAAAATAGAGCTAAAATGCAGTGGCATAAATCTCAAACTCATTTACATTTAGAAGCATAATAAAATGAGAGTGATGCATATTTTGCAGTTCAAGTCAACAGACTCTCAACCAGCTTTGGAAGTGGGCTTGGTTTACAACATGGCCATTTATTTGTTTGAATCAACTGATGATATTGGTCTATTGAGAAAGCTGTTAGCTCCATGTAGTCTTAATTCCGTATTCTTAAATGCAGTTCAATCTTTTGTCAAATGTCACTTTTTAAATGAGACCTACCCTGAACAGTGTACTTAAAATCTCAGTAACCCCCGACTTGCCTATTTCTCCTTACTGTGCTGTCCTTTGATGTATTTTGCAAATCACTTTTCATCTTTTACATATTCTATAAACTTATGAACTAAATTTATTTTTTATGGTCATTCTAACTCATCAGAACTTAAACTTCCCAATGTGTAATCGTTGTTTTGCCCTCTGTATAAACTGAATGGCTACACAATGCCTGGTATATAGTAGTTGCTCAATAATATCCTTTAAATACCTGAATAAATGAATAGCATTTGGCACTCAATTTTCTGTCTCATTTTTTATTTGGATAAAGCTTAAAGGAAATGAAATGTAATGTATTATTTATACATCTTTCTAAAATAATAAGTAATGATATACTATAAAAACTAGCTTAATCTGTATTTATAATTTAATCTGTAATTTGTAAATATCAGCATTTAAATTTAAAAAATGAAAATTTTATTCAGTTAAAATAAGAATATATTTTAATTGGGCCAGTTTTATTAACTCCTCAAAATTGAATTATATTTCATTAATTCTTTATATAGAGAATCATATTGTTTCCTAAATAATGAAATTGTTTAGATGTGTTCCCTTTACTATATGTGCACAAATTCACTATGTATGATCTATCCTTCAATAAATAGATATACATGCATACATACTTATACACACAGAGAGAATTTAAGAAAACACTGCTGCAAATCATGAAAAATAAATAACATATAAAACAAGTTATTTGCCTTCTTTAAGAACTATTCATAAGTTTGGGGTTCCTGTCTGGCTTAGTCAGTAGAGCATGTGACTCTTGATCTCAGGGTTGTAAGTTCAAGCACCATGAATCTTAAAAACAACAACAAAAAAACTCTTTTAAGTTTGAATGAAATGTGTTTTGGTTTTCCCTTTGGGAAGCAAATGTACAACTATGTCCCTGATAAAATATAAATACTGTGTATTTTTCTGTTTTATTGTAGTGATTATTGAGATTCTTCATTATGAAATCAACCTCTACACTCTATTTTGATGGCCTGGAATGTGTCCACTGTTTTGCTATAACGTTAGGTACATGAAAAGATTAACCTTTGAATGACGTTGTATATACATGTTTAAGTAGGTCTTGCTGTTTTGACTGGTTTGACCAACAGCTCAGTAAAATTCAGTAAGGACATGGATTGAGATTTAAGGGCATCGATGCCTTCCATGAACTGGTGGATCATAAGTTAGTCTTTAAAATCTATGAATAAAAAAATCAATGAATATTATTGAGAACTCAAATTCAATGTATCATTATCCAAAGTTGTTGACTTTTTCTCACTGCCAAAAATAATTTTGTCATTCTGGTTTTCCATTTTCCATTAATGATTTCAATTGTTATGCTCATTCTCATCAAAAGTCCATAGTCATAGTGAGAAGTCACCATAGTGAGAAGTGTGGGGGCATCTGAGAGGCACAGTCAGTTAATGCCCAGCTCTTGGTTTTGCCTCAGGTTGTCATATCAGGGTCATGAGATCAAGCTCCAGGTCAGGCTGTGCACACAGGTACAGAGTCTGCTTAACACTTTCTCTCCCTTTCCCTGTCTCTCTTTCTCTAAAATAAATAAATCTTAAAAAAAGAAAGAAAGAAAGAAAAAAAAAGTATATGTAATGTATATTTTCTGCAGAACCCCATCACATAGTAGTCCCTGGCCTATTGTAGGTTCTCAGTAAATGTTTGTTCAAGGTATTTTTGATTATGGACTCTGATACCCAAAGTTTTCCACAATATATCAATTATATTTACATTTTTAAAGAGTTTGTGCTGCCTCTACAAGAATATTTTGTCTACATTTGTCTTCAGATATTAGAAGTACTCCATAATAAATTCAACAACTACTTCCTCTTCTAGGTTATGCTACTTTCTTTCCACTTCCATGGGGCACCTGAAGTTCAAGAGCTGAGCTGAGATCGAGTCCAGTGCTTAACCAACTAAGCCCCCCAGGTGTACAACCATCTTTTAAGAATCTTTGCCTAACTGGTCAATCAGGCATCTGGAATATCCTTCCATGATGCTAGAATGATAGGTAAAATGATACCTTCTATGCCATCCAGAATGTTGAATGAAATCTGTTCTTGAATCCAAAGAGGTATACTCTAATGGTGAGCTTCCTAACACTATGTTTAAAAGTGGGAAGACAAATGTTACATATCCTGTAAAATCTTCCAAATCTGTGCTACCCTTTTAAAGTTATAGTCTCTTTCTCTCTATATGACATTAAATATTCTCTGTCTAATAATACTAAATGTAAGTAAAGAGACATAACATGCAGTTTACACCATGCTAACCTCTAGAAGTTTGGAGACTAATTATAGAAGATGCTGTCATCATTAGATACCAAGTCTTTAGCTATAAACACAGTCATATCCCAAACTTGCCTCCCAGGTAAAAGAAAGGCTTCCATGCAGTTTACCTAGTGAATGCAATATGCTCAAATATTTTTTTACCATTTTACATTTGTCAACATTTTGAAAATTCATTATGCAGCACTAATTTGACTTAACTAGTTTGAAAAATATTCTTTTCATTTTTCTGTCACATCTCTCAGTACATGAATAAAACATTCATAATATCTCCTTAAATTTAAACAGAAGGGAAATTACATTTAAATAGAAGGAAACTATTCAATAAAATTAGTAAGACTACACATCTATTCAATTATTTGTATGTTCCTACATTACATCTTTATATTAAAATTTTGACTGTAAGATGAAGGACAAAAATAATACATCATTACTTCCTGAGTAATATTTATCTTGAGGTGTTTAATGTAGAAATCCTGGGAATATTAAGTCTGATATACATGCTTCTATTTATACTAAAAGATAATGCTACTTTTATTTTTGGATGTATTCTAAAAATGTATGATATCAATGACCAAAATGATATAGCTATTATAAGCACTGTCTTCAAATACCAGACTTACATGGTTGGTGTGCAATTGATTCCAGTTAAATGGTCTTTGCTGATAATTGACTGTAATGGAATTTCATAGAAGAGGCAGAGGTCTAACAATGGATTTCCCTAAATATGGATGGAATAAAATCATTGCTTATTTAAAGGAGTTGACATGAAAAATGCATACCATAAATGTATGATAGTGTGACTTTCCCTAGGAATGGGTATGCTACTGACCCAAATGATTATATTAAGAGAGTAGTAATATAAGTGAAAAATTTCCATGATTTGAAGAGATAAACAAGAAAATCCAATGCAAATACAGTATCTTTGAAATATTTTATATTGTCTTATTATACAACACATCAATCAGACATGAAATTTTATCTGAAATGAATTTTTATCAAATCAATTTTTTTATCAAATGAATTTTTATCAAAGGTTTTTTTCTAGACTAAGAGACAACACAGTATATAACACAGATGCCTGCACATACGCAGGTACATACATGCACACGCAGAACAGAGCTTAGCACTTAGTCGTTACATAGGGACAAGGATTATTACTGTTGTTTTTGTTATTGTTTCTAAAATTGCAGTATTAGTATTTCTATAATTATTTTGTTTTATTTTTTATTAATTTTTCATTATGTTCAGTTAGCCAACATACTTTATATTTTAAATAAGCATTTAAACTACTATATTCTAGAAAGAGAGAGTAGTATTCAGGATATGAGAGTATATAACCGAGTAAAGAAATACAATTCGATGTTGTGAGTCAGAAGCAGATTGTGTACTCTGCCTGGTGAAATTGGTCCCTGAGGTTCTCTGGGGCAAGTGGAATTGCAGTTTGTTGAATGACAGCGTGTGGTTTGTTTCCCACCCATATACACAAACACAGGCATGGGTGGAGAGCTAAGCAATGCTCCTTATTATGAAATCCATCCGCTGAGCTGCTCAGAATTTCATTCTATACTAGCTAATTGACATTATAATTAACTAACTTTTTTTTGTTGTTGTCCTTTTGACTTTTCGGGACACCGAATCATACACCAAGGAACTGTTGCATGGCCAACTTGTATCTATTCATTGTTGCTGCCATGCCAGTTTAAGGGAGTCCTGTGAGTAGTCTCTCACAGTGACATCAAACTCACCGTGCCTAACAATGAACTGCCAAAGTCCCCTGAAGCATGTATCACCATTGGTACCACCATTTACAACAGCCCGAGCCAGAAATCAGAAAAAAAAAAAAAAGTTATCCCAACTTTTCTTTATCTCTGCACTCCTCCATATAAAAATCACCATCTCTTACCAACTCTCCTGACATAAGTGCCTCCCATGGTTATTCCTCCACATGGTGCTACAGTCCATGGTCGTCATGGTGACTCTAAAGCATCTAGTCTATCCTTTGTTAGTAGAATGTCTAGATCTGTATGGGTTCAGTACTGTCCACATACGATCACACACTTCACAGTTCTTTTTGAAGTCAGAGGAGTGTGGCCGATGAAGTCAGTTTCAGACAATGACAATGGCAGAGTTTTGGGACTGGAAGCACACTTTTCTCACTCCTTTGGCCTGTGAGTTACATCTACAGGTGATGATGTGTGGTCCTGCATTCTTTCTGGAAGATCTGTACAGGAAATAAAACCCGGGAATTTAGGAGCCAATTTATTATTCACAATAATGTGTGAATATTAATGAAAAGTAACTCACCAAATTGTTAAAAAAATAATTTGGGAAGGGAAAAGGCAAGACATTTCCGTGGTGTGTTCTTGCTCTCCTTAGCATTCGTATTGGGTCATACATTTTTTTGGATAATGGATCTAGGATAATTCCAGTGTGTTTTATTCAAAATGCATAACACATCCTTTTATGACATAGAATTTCAAAGAATTATAATAGTGTAAAGATAATTCAAGTAAATGTCTGCCTCCAGTTTCTCCCCCTATGAGTACACTTTTTGTCTAGTCTAGTTTATTCTATCCGGAACACTGTTTTGAGCATGCAGAAAATCTGCTAGATTACACTGTATGCACATTCCATTCTATATATGTTAAACATAATAATCAGACAAACAAGCGACAACATAAAATCTCCCTATCTCTAGTTCCCATTTCCATTGAAACTAATTATATTTACATGACATTGTCTTTCTTGCATCTTTGCCACACTCATATTCTTTCTTCCACATAAACAGTCTTCCCCACCATTTCTAACCCCTTCAAAGTCTCCCAAAATCTAGGGGTTGATGTAAACATATCCTTCCATGGAGACTTCCGTGCTCTCTTTAGACCACGCTTCCTTGCTTCTCTTTCTTGTGTAGAACTGGGCAGCTCTGTCAGAGCATCCGCTTTCATCTACAGCTGCACTGTCTGAGTTTATGTTTGCTCTATGCACCCTGAATATGACCTACTCATCTCTTCCTTCCCTGGCCCCTAATGTCTCCCAAGGGCCCTCTTCTCTCACTTCATTAATGTTACCAATTTCATACCACCGAGGACAGAGCCTTGTTGATGGATTACTTCACACCTAACACACTGGGCTCACTTGCTCCCCAGAGGCTACCATGAGGCCCTTCCTCATTGGTGCCTAGCCATTGCCCACACCATTTGCATATCGGCCTCAATGTCACTGCTTCCAGAATGACAGAGGCATGGTGTGATGCCCCAATCCAGAAATTTGCTTTAAAGTAGCTGAGAGTTTGCAAGGACAAGGGGGATAAATGATTTGGGAGGACCAAGGAAAAGCAGGGAGGACACCTACCCCGTTGGAATCCTGTGTCATGTAGCTTCTGGAGGAGAAAATAGCTACTCTTTGAGGGGTGACATGGGCTGCCATATTCCCAGAGGACAGCTGGGGAGGGAAATGAAGGGAACAGGAGGAAACTGTTTGTGTGGAGAGGGGTGGGGGCATTGAGACAGACAGGCATGCCTCAGGATAGAGCAGAAAAAATCCTGGTGTCAGAGACAGAAGGGAGATAGTCTATTTCAGATGGATTAAAGAAAGTGAGATGAAACATTTGTTAAAGAAAAAAAATCCTGCCTTTCTGAGCCCTTCCCCATTATACCTTCTGTTCTTAGCATATTTTATTCCCATTTTTCAAAGCCTGAGAGCATATTGTCTGTTCAGGGAACTGTGTGTGGTCTGCCTCTTACATTAGATACCAGCGTTAGAGAAGGCCACTAGGCTGACCTCACTTGCTGCAGCCTGGAGAGTCTCCTGGGTGTTTGTGGAGTCAACGAATGAACCTTCTTATCCCACAGACAGCCTACTACAGAGAGGCAGATAAGAAGATGGAATTGTTTTATATGAGCGATTATGCTTTTTATTCCTGATAGGTTCATAAGTCAATTAAATGATTATTGATAAACTAAATAGGAAAGTAAAAGTAACAAGGGGCACCTGAGTGGCAGCAGGTTGAGCTTCTGACTCTAAGTGATCGATCAACCCCGCTTCTCATTTCCGTGTCGCCTGGCCCAGCTACACCTCTGCGGATTGGAGGGCACCAAGGAGCACTGCCCTGCGAGCGGGGACTGTGCGCACAGGACGCGCTCCTCTTACCGCAGCTGCCCGGCGTCTGCCCGGCCCCCAGACTGAGAGGCAGCATCAGCGGGGTCGGAGCGCATGCGCTATCCGCGCCCCTCCAAGGCCCGCCCCACCCGGTCCCCAGACAGAGAGGCAGCATTAGCGGGGTCGGCGCGCATGCGCTACCCGCGCCCCTCCACGCTCCGCCCTTCGTGTCCGCGCCCCTCCACTCCCCGCCCCGCCCCTCCAAATCCCGCCCCGCCCGGCCCCCAGACAGGGAGGCGGCATCAGCGCGGTGGGCGCGAATGCGCTACCCGAGTCCCTCAAGCCCCGCCCTTCGTGTCCGCGCCCCTCCACGCCCCGCCCCGCCCCTCCACGACCCTCCACGCCCCCAACCCCTACCCCGCGCCCTCCGCCCGCGCCCGCTCCCCTCCGCAAGGTCAAGCCCCGCTGCGCCCCCCGCCCACCGCTCAGCCCGCTCCCGCAGGCACACACCTCTGCCTCCGGTCGTGCTCGCAGTAACGGCCGGCGCGGTGGGCGGGGCCTACGCAGCAGGTGCCCAGGGCGCAGGTGCCGCCCTTCCTGCAGCCGCGCCTGCTGGGGGGACACCTGGGTGCTGGCGTCCGCTGCCTCCTGGCCCTTCGCGGTGACGCCCCCGAGAGCGCGTCATGAGCCTGCCCGAGAGGCAGGACGCTTCACCTCCAGGCCATGTGTGTTTGCTCAGGTAAACCCTGCTTGTTAACTTGAGGATTCAAAACGAACTGCCAGGGGTCCTGGAGGGTCAGGAACCGGCTCAGGACCCAAGGAGAACCCTGGCCCCAGCAAGGAGCATTTTCCCTCTTCCTTCCTTTCATATGTTAAAGTCAGGCTGTGACTTGCCTGGACAGTGATTAAAACCAGGCCTTCAGGGCGGGGACCGCCCACAGCTTTCGATGACGACAGAAAACCCTCCCAGCCCCTTGTCCCCCCCAGAGGGACATCATCATTCCCCCCCCCCCAACCAGATACCTGGGGTCTGGAGCCGGAGGGAGCTTCTGCATGGCTCCATCCATTTATGCCCAGCTGCTATGAGCACACTGCCTTGACTGAGCTCAGCCCAGGGGCCACAGCTCTAGGCTCTTCCCATGCAACTTCAGCAGGAGCCACAGGTGGGCCCCAGCTCACAGGGATTTGCAACTCACCTGAGCTTCCAGCCCACATCCCTGGAGCTAAGAAGGAACAACATTTCTCAGGATGGGCCATCCTCGAATCTCACCTTCTTACTCCCTTCTGACCCCCAGTGTCCACTTTATCATAGAACCTCGGCTCTGCCCCTTGCAAGGGGTCCCTTTCCTTCATACCCAAGCAGACCCTACAGTCTGCAAGGTGCACCTACCCCCACCTCTCTCGCACTGTGCCTTACTCTGTGCAAACAGCCAGGCACCTAAAGCACCCAATGTGAATCCCACATGTCTCCCCCAATTCCTGCGGTCTTTCTTTGGACAGAACAGAGCCCACCATCCTGGCCCCTCACACCACTCTGCCTACCGTCCAGACCCCACACCTTCTCACCGAGAGACAGGGAATGGTCCCATGCCTCTGGACTCCCTCACCCTGGTTCCCTGGCCTTGTAACATTTGCTCTTCAAAGGCCTGTATCACACAGGAACCTGTTGCGGAGAAACACCTGCTGTCATGGCCACAGTTGGAAGCCATAACGTCAGTGTCCAACCTCAAGTTTAGCAACAATGTGCTGGGAGGTCTCAGCCAAAAACGCTTTATGCAGAAATACCTGGATATACACATACTGCTTCTCCTTTTCTTCCAATAAGAACGGTGCTGACCTCAACAGCTGTGCTTGAGATCCAGAAATAAGTATGTCTGAATGTTTTGACGAGGCAGGCAGGTTATGCTGTGTCAGCTGGGCATGATTCACCAACACTTTCTCAGAGCCATGGAGACCCCTGCCCAGCATCAGGAGAATGTGATGACTCATAAGGGACAGGAGTGACTGCAAGCCAGGCTGCACATTACAATCCCCCAAGGATGGTTCTCATAAATTACTAATTCAGAAATGATCATTTTTAATTGTTTTTTAAAAATAACTATTTTTATTATTAATTAAACTAATATTCACATTTGTACCAACCCCCAATCCTGGACATGCCCACATTTTTCCCAACTCCCCTTCTATGCTATCCTGGGTGGGTGCACAGGCGTCACCCTTTGTAAGGCAGAAACTTCCAAGAAGACTTTCATTTGCATGAAGAACCTCTCCACCTCATGGAGCTGTGCCTGCCTCTCACTGCACTGCTTGGCCTCTTGTTTTAAGACCTCCACCTCTCCCTTGAGGATGGAGCACCTCTCCTTCAACTGGAGGATCTCAGACAATGTCTCCATAGTTCTCCAGGCCTGGGTCTCCCCAATGCCCTCCCATCCACCCTTCTCCTTTCCTGCCCTGAGTTTTAATACAAAGTCTTCAAACCACTGGACTGTTTCATCTCCCAAGGCATGGTGCCATTTTCTTCTAAGGAGGAGAACTCCCCCCAAAATGAATAATGCACAGATAGCAGGCCACATGGACATCAAGCTGAAGTAAATCCAAGGTGAGAAGGGACTCCAATGTCCCCTTGTCTGCAGAGTTGAAAGGCACCCATTCAGAGGTATTTGGGTTAGGCTGGTGTCCCTGTGTCTCTGTAGCGCAGTGATAGGTTGGAATGGAGGAATCACAGTTTGAAGACTCCCAGGATTCCAGGGATCCAGTGGACACATCGGTCCAAGGCTGAGCAGGTTTGGAGGTCTCATAATGAGAGACCAAGTGGCAAGCCCATTGTTTGTGTGCTCTATGCTCTGGGGGAAAGGAAGAATCAAAATCCAAGGTCGCATGGTGAACTCACTGTCTAGTTGCCGGCTTGGCCTAGCACAGAGCTGCATTGTTGGTCTCCAGGTCCAAGGGTACATGGTGAGCCCACTCTCAAGGGGTCTGCTTGGCCTAGCACAGAGCTGAGTTGTTGGTCTTGATATCCAAGGGCACAAGGTGAGCCTGCTTACCAGGCACCAGCTTGGCCTATCAGATAGCTTGGTAGTTGCTCTCCAGGTCCAAGGGCACATGGTGAGCCTACTGCCCAGTTGCCTGCTTGGCCAGGCAAAGAGCCGAGTTGTTGGTCTTGAGGTCCAAGGGCACATGGTGTGACTGCTGTCCAGGTGCCTACTTGGCTTGGTGTAGAGCTGCATTGTTGGTCTCCAGGTCCAAGGGCACATGGTGAGCCCGCTGTCAAGGTATCTGCTTGGCCTAGCCCAGGGCTCTGTTATTGGTTGCCAGGTCCAAGGGCACATGTTAACCCTGTTGTCCAGGTTCCTGTTTGGCCTAATTGAGAGCTGTGTTATTGATCTCCAGGCCCAAAGGCACCTGGTGCCCCTGCTGTCCACGTTCCTGCTTGGCCTAGTGCAGAGCTGCATTGTTGTTCTCCAGCTCCAAGAGCACATGGTGAGCCTACTGTCCACGTGCCTGCTTGGCCTAATAGAGAGCTGATTTCTTTGTCTCCAGATCCAAGGGCACGCGGTGAGCCCGCTGTCAATGCTTCTGCTTGGCCCAGGATAGAGCTGAGTTGTTGGTTTCCGGGTCCAAGGGAGCATGATGAGACCATTCTCCAGCTGCCTGCTTGGCCAAGTGTAAAGCTGAGCTGTTGTTATTGGCATCGAAGGACACATGTTGAGCCTGCTGTCTAGGTACCCTCCTGGCCTAGTACAGAGCTCTGTTATTGGTCTCCAGGTCCAGGGGTACATGGTGATCCCGCTGTCAAGTTGTCTGCGTGGCCTAGCCCAGGGCTCCTTTCTTGGTCTCCAGGTCCAAGGGCACATGGTGAGCCTGATGTTCAGGTGCCTGCTAGGCCCAGGATAGACCTGAGGTGTTGGTTTCCAGATCCAAGGGCACGTGATAAACCCACTCTCCAGGGGCCTGCCTGTCCTAGTAGAGAGCTGAGTTTTTGGACTCCAGTTCCAAGGGCACATGGTGATGGTGTTATTCAGGTGAATCTCTTCCCCAATACTGAGCTGGGATGCAGGACTCATGGTTTCTTGACCCTTGGCAAGCCTGGTATTCTCTGGACTTACTTGCCTTGTGCTACACTGGAGTGGCCTGTTTGTGGTAGGACTCCTTGTCCACCCAGTGTCTGTGTGTCTCATCTGCCCAGTAGTGTCAAATTGGTTCAGAAGACTCCCAGTCTTTGGGTTCCTGGTTAGTGCTCTCTTACGGGGACTGACTTTCTGCTTGTTATACTTTGTTGGAGGGTTTGTGGTCTGTGGGCTCCTGGTCAGCCAGGTGTCTGGGGGGTTACTTTGTCCACTGCTGAGCTGGTTCAGCCAGCTTGTGGTCTCAGGACTTGTGGTCCAAGGACTTGCACTGTGTCCAATGATGTGGTGATTCCTTCCCCCAGTACTTACTTGTTTTGTAAAAGTCCCACTCTCCCTGGTGTCTGTAGGCGTTCTAAACATTGTCGACATCAGGGATGGATGGACGTTCAATTCATTCATGGTCCGTGTGCTGAGCTGGTTTGGAGGGCTCCAGAGTTGTAATGTGCCCACTGCTCCCTCAGGATGGGGACTCAGCTTTCTTGTGCTGAGCCCTGTTGGGAACCCAGAGGTGTGGGAACCAGCTGGCTGAGAATCCATGGTGACCTGATTTCCAGTGTCCCACT